CGAGGTGTCTCCTCTATACCCTTGGACCCCTCGCTGTCTGAAATGTCGAGGCCACTCTTCCTGAGCTCCAAAAACCTCGCCTCAGCTCCAAGTTCCTTCGGTTGGTCCAAAAGAAGCTTGTACACCTCGCTTTCCTTGTTCAAGTACCCGTGCTCGCTTTGTTCCCGTGTTAAGACCACTTGTAACGGATCCTCTGAGTTTAACTCTTCTAGGAGCTCACCAGCTAGCTCCTCCATTACCTCCACATAGAAAACCTGACCTCCAATGGTCGGTTTCTTCATCATTTCCTTCACGTTGAACTTCATAGTCTCGGAACCGATGTGTAGTTCAATCATACCTCCTCTCACATCTATTATGGCTCCTGCGGTTGCTAGGAACGGTCGGCCCAAGATGATAGGGTCTAATGGTTCCTCGTCCATCTCAAGAAATATGAAGTCCGTGGGGATTTCTATCTCACCGATCCTTAAAGGTAAATCCTCAAGCAATCCCACCGGTAGTCTAACCGATCTATCAGCTAATACAAGAGAGATCTTGGCCGGTTTGTAGCTTTTGTATCCCAATCTCTTAGCCACCGTGTAAGGCATTAGGCTCACAGAAGCTCCTAGATCACATAAGCAGTTTGAGAACTTCAAGTGCCCTAAAGCACACGGTAAAGTAAAGCTGCCCGGATCGGATAGCTTTCTTGGGATAGATCTTCTTTGTATTATAGCGCTGCACTCATGGCTCAGTATTACCATACCCTGGAGCTCCTTTGTCTTATTGAGAATTGCGTCCTTTAGAAACTTTCCAAGCTGAGGTATAGCTAAGAAAGCATCTATGATGGGTAAGGTAAGTTGCGTGTTCTCCAAGTGTTTCTCAAAGACCGCTTTGGCCTTGTCTAAGATTTTCTTTTTGAAACGCCCTGGGAATGGTATCTTGGGTTGGTAAGGTGGTGGTGGAACGTATGGCTTTTCAAGCTCAGTTGTCTTTTCCACCTCTTTTCCTTTGTCCTTGATCGGTTCCTTCTCAAAAACCGTTTCTTTACACGCATCATCTGAGGCTGCCTCCCCCTCTAATTGCTCATTGGCCTCAATGAGCTTTGTCTTAGGCGTTGGAGCTTGTAATTCCTTACCATTCCTCAATGTGATGGCGTTCACATACTCTTTGGGGTTCGGCTCCGGTTTACCTGGTAAAGCCGGGCCTCTTGATGATGTAGAAGCTTGATTTTTCTTAAGCTCTCTGATATCTTGCTGCATTGTCGCGTGCTGGCTCTCAACTCTCCGCTGACCCTGTAACAGTTGCTGTAAAATCCCACAGACATCTGTTCCCATCTGATTTTGACCCGTTCCCTGAATCTGTTGCTGATTACCCATCGGCTGCGGATTGAACCCTGGTGGAAACTTGTGTTGCTGTGGTTGGCTGGTGAAGTTGTTACCCTGAGCCGCTTGATTCTGCTGAGTTAAGCCGTGCTGTTGCCCATTGAAATGTTGCTTGGGCTGGAAGGTACTCTGAAAAGGGGCTTTTTGAGCATAGCTTTGTTGTTGTTGTTGAGCAGGGTACACTTGGTCTTGAGGGTTAGCTACATTCGGGTTTCTATAAGAGAGGTTTGGGTTATTGCTGTAGTTGTTAAACCGCTGATATCTCTGCTGATTCCCTATGTAGTTCAGCTCCTCTTGAGTTAGACCATCTTCATTAACATTGTCAAAACTTGGCCCTTGCTCATCAAACTCGCCTACAAAGTGCATTGGCTTTTGAGTCGCCATTAAAACTTTTTCAAGCTTGCTCTGAAGCTCTCTTATATCCTTCTTCATTCGCTGGTCGTCACTAGATCCCTCTGAACGGTTTGCTCTATCAAAATCCTCTCCATACGTGTCATTAGACATGGCTAGGGTCTCGACTAGTTCCATTGCCGCATTGATCTCTTTCCCAAGAAAATTTCCATTTGAAGCTGTATCGAGTTGGTTTCTGATCTTGGGGAGTGCACCTCGGTATAAGGTACTCAAGAGGGACGCCTCTGAGAAGCCGTGGTGTGGGCATTGGTTGGTATAGCTTCGAAACCGTTCCCAAGCTTCACTAAAGCTCTTGTTGTTGTGCTGCGTGAAACTTGAGATCTGATTCCTGAGCTTAGCCGTGCGTGATGTGGAAAAGAACTTTGATAAGAACGCCAGTTTACACTGCTCCCATGTTTGTATAGAACCCCTCGGGAGGTTCTTTTCCCACTGGTGAGCTTTATCACCGAGGCTGAATGGGAACAAGCGTAGCTTGAAGCTATCTTCTGAAACGCCATTGATCTTGGTTAAGTCGCAAACCCGATCAAACTGATCTAGATGCTCAAGAGGGTCTTCTCCGGCTAGACCGTGAAACTTTGAGTTCTGCACCATATTGAGCAAGGAAGCTTTAACTTCAAAGTTGTTATTTTGAACCGGTGGAGCTTGAATCACGGCTCTATATTGGTGCGCATTTGCTCGGTCGTTCTCTCCAACAAAGACCGGAGGAGGTTGTCTCTGAGCTTGTGGCGGTGGCGGATGAACATGATGGGCTTGTTGCTCATTTCTATTCGCTTGTTGTTGGTTTTGCTGAGCAAGTCGTTCGTTTCTTTGAGCCTGCTGTTGGTTAACATAGGCCTGTTGTTCATTTCTTCCTGCCTGCGCCTGATTAGCCTGAGCCTGGTGCTCAGCTTCTTGAGCCTGTTGCTCGATCCTTTGCTGTTCTGCCATTCCAAGTCGTTCAAAGTGCCGTTCTCTCTCGCGAGATCGCCTCTCAATCCTGTTGATGTTATTGTCGTATGGTAAAGGCGGTTCTGTGCTACGAGACCTGGTTTTCATGCACCTGAAATCAAAACAAGAACAAAAGAGTCAGTAAAACAAAAGAAAGTAAAGTCTTGATCTTAAGAACAAATAAGAGACTAATGCTCCCACAAGTTGACAACGGCGCCAATTGATAACTTAGAGTTTTGACTCTTTGTAGAGGTTATCAATACCCCTGTCCTTGTAGTACAAGGGGTTATCAAACCAAAATTGTAGTGGAGACACTAGTCTATTGATATTTGTCGTCTTAAGTCAAGAGAGAATGGTAAAGGTTTTTAGCTAAACTAAGTAACAGGTGAATTAGCATAAAAGTAAAACAAATGATGAGATTTAAGCTAAGCAAGATGCTAATGACAAGTAAATAACTCGGATGATGAAAATATATGATAAAGACAGAAGCTTTAGACAGGATACTTGACTCGGGTGCTTCCAAGCTAAACTAATAGGTTAATGAATCATTTTATCAAGCGATTTCATTTAACTTTGAACTCAAGGCATGTTAATCTTCTCATGAAAGTATTAAACATCTAAACTGATCCTCTTTCATACCAAAATCTCTTTTGAGAAGCACGAATCAGTCAGCAATAAGATTCAGTTCAAAAATGTCATTTAAGAGATCAAACTATCACTCTCGGGATGAAAGACTCTTAAACCCTTAACCGAGTGGTTCAGACATTTCTACAAACACTTTTGATGCGAGATATGTCTCAGATCTGAACCTCAAGTGATGTGCTTGGATCCAGCCTAGAGATCTCGTCGGTTAAGGAATGAAACATGCAAGACTAGACACCTAAACCCACTAATCTATCTTGAAAGCACCCTAATCTACCTATCTAAAGCCGCTTAAACGACTACTCACTGATCATAACGAGCTCACTAAGTCCTTTGCAAGACGTGTAGCTAGTCATGATAAGGAGTTTAATACTGGATGATAAAAGAAATAAAGAAAGAACAAGATTCTGATGAAAAAACGAGATATCGGATTAGATTAATCAAGTTTCACAAAAAAGGCAAGTTTTTAAGGCTAAAAGAAGATAAGAGATAAGATGATTAGGTTTTTGGTCCTAAAATGTATTTATAGCAAAGGGAAAGTGTCGCGGGTCAGCCTGGAATAAACCGGGTACTGAGCCGCCTTCTTGGGTTGATGGGTGAGTGCCACGGTGTGTCGGAGAGTGAAGCCGAGGTCTTTATGTCGAGGAGTGCACGTGAGTCAGGATCCGAATGCAGATCTCGTGAAGAACACGTCAAGAACAAGCATGAACCCTAGTCTTTGATCCATCCTCACGCGTGTGTTCTTGAGCCGTCTTGTTCTTGATTCTAGGTTTGTGACAAGGGACCTCGGCATAAAATGCCGAGGGGCTTGGTAGTCGAGGGGTTTGGGAGAACAGAGTCCGGCATGCACGCCGAGGTCGTTACACCGAGGTGCACGTTCAACACTTAGTCGTTTCCAGCTTCATTTCTTACGTGTGCATGCCTTGATCCCAACATGCCGAGGCATCGGCACGAGGTCTAGTCCAGAATACTCCCAAGATATGAGCCTTGACTTGGGCGATGTCGAGGTAATGATGTCGAGCCCTGAGAAAACACTTAGCGCGTATCGCAACTCATTTGGGCTCGTATCGACCATATTGCCTTCCGGAAACAGTAACTTTCAACATACGACTCCAATTTCTCTGAGACCAGTTCCATAGTCAAGAAGACTCAATAATCTCGAACTTTGGTGAAGAAACCGTCGGAGCTTGGGAAGTGGAAGGCTTCCTGGATTTCACATCTTTGCACCGCATTGGAATCACCGGAAAATAAGCTTTTGGACCATTGTGAACTCCGGAGACCTTATCTTTCGAACCACTGCTCCGAAATGAGCGATTCCAACTGTTCTGCGAAGGCCTTTCACAGATCTCAAACTTTGATGAAGACCGGACAGGCTAGTTCGGTCCGGAAAGGCTCCGTCCGCCGTGATCTTTAGAATCCGCTGTTTGGTTCTCGGGTGCGCGTAATGCTGGTGCATCCTCCGGAAGTCGTATCTTTCTCATTACTGGTCCGAATTGAATGATTCCAACTGTTATGGGATCTTTGCTTGATTATCTCCAACTTTGATGAAGACCCCGCCAACTGATTCCGAACGGAAGGTTCCCCGGATTGCTGATCTTTGAAACGCGCGGGCAAGGACAGGTTTTGGTCGAGAAAAGCTTCCCGCGGTAAGAAAAATGGCCGATGACTATGTACCGTGGTAAGCTTTTTGGCCGTAAAATTCTTTTCGCCTCGGCCAAAAACTTAACCCGTGGTAAATTGCACCCGATACTCGTCTTTGGTCGATTTTGGTCGATCGGTAAGGGTTTTGGCCGATAATGAGCGTCCGGTAAGCTTTTTGACCGAGGTTTCTGTCCAGCCGGTACGAGTTTTGGCCGAGAAATTCCTCCAAGCGGTTTTCACCATTTTTGACCCTTTTCTTTACCGTTTTCTTCTCTGCTCCTCTTCTTAAGCTCCAAATGGCTTCCAAAGCACCTGATAAAGACTTCAAAACATGCAAAACTCCTTGGGACCTAATGCAAGCCCTAAATCCTATTTGGTGCCTAAAGACTCAATTTACATGAGAAAACACATGATGTGGACTCTAAAATGCAATCTAAATGATGTAAAATATAGACGTATCAGGAAGAAAGAGGACTGTATGTGAGAATGTTCTGGCTCCCCATGGAGATGATGATGATTTTGTGCAGACTCCGACAGGTGATGTCAGTTGGGGGCGTAAGAATGGCGGTGCAGAGCTGAAGAAAGCGATTAAACGTACAGAACTATATGGATTTCCGGATGTGGCACCAGTCTCTGATGAAATGGGAGGGGATTTTGATGAACTTGATTTGTCAAATGAAGATGGAGAGATATGGGTTGGGAAAAAGTTCAGGAACAAGGAACACTTTGAAATCATGTTGGCCATCAATGCGCTGAAGAATATAGTGACGTTCGAATTCAAAAACCATGCGAAGAAGTACACAGTCGCCGAATGTCCATCAAAGATATGTGATTGTTTGGGGTGTCAAGTTGGCGAGTCGGCGTTGTATGAGGTGAGGAAGGCGTGTTTGAAGCATACATGCCACCCGGATACAAGAAAGAAATTTTCTAAACATGCTACTTCTAAAGTCATGGCGGCTCTGCTGAAGTCTAAGTATGAGAATGCAATAGTTGGTCCACGTGCGAGTCAGCTACCTGCGATTGTTCTCTCCGAATATAATATTACAGCCTCGTACTGGAAATGCTGGAAAGCTAAGGAGCTGGCTATATACTCTGCTCACGGAACAGAGGAGACTTCTTTCAAATTACTACCGATTTACCTCCATGTGCTCAAGTATGCTAACCCCGGCACCATAACGCATTTGATAACCGAGAGCGAGAGAGATGAAAAAGATGGAAAATGTATTACCAGGTTTAAGTCCGTATTTATGGCATTGGATGCGTGTATATCTGGATGGAAACATTTGAAACAAGTAGCTGTTGTTGATGGGACTCACCTGACTGGTAAGTATAAGGGTTGTCTATTAACGGCCAGTGGACAAGATTCTAGTTACCAGGTATTTCCAATAGCGTTCGCCGTTGTCGATGCAGAGTCTGACAAGGCGTGGAGGTGGTTCTTTGAGAAGTTGTTAGAAATTATTCCAGATTCCTCTGATCTTACTATTATCTCAGATAGGCACGGTGGAATTGCCAAAGCTAAAAAGAAATGGTATCCACAGTCACACCACGGTGCATGTCTTGTCCATATCCAGAAAAATGTTCACGGTAAATACAAAGGTTCCGGTCAGAAAGGGTTGGTCGGAAAGGCTGGAGAAGCATTCACAGTTTCTAATTTCAAGAAACTATACGCAAGGCTGAAGGATGTTGATTATCGTTTTTGGGAGTACATGGAAAATATCCCTCTTGCGCTGTGGACTAGATCACACTTTTCTGGTCAGAGGTATAATATGACCTCCAGTAACATTGCAGAGTCTCTGAACAATGCACTACTCGCTGCAAGAGACAGTCCAATCGTTGCAATGCTAGAATTTATCAGGCGAATGTTAAGTAGGTGGCTTGAATGCAGAAGAGAGAACATTCAAAAGATGGATGGTGACATTACAGAAGAGGTTGACAAGTTAATGAACCTGCAGCAGCAAAAATCTGCTGCACTATTGGTTCAAGGCATTTCTTTGTGGGAAGTTGAAGTGAGTTCTGAGTTCGGTGTACGGAGGCTTGTTGATCTCCTAAACAAAACATGCTCATGTCTAGAGTTTCAGACATTGAAATACCCTTGCCGACATGCAATGGCCGCGGCTAGGCTTCGTCAAGTTGAGTACAGCAGTTTGGTTGATCCAATTCTTAAGAAATCAATTTGGAGTGCAACAGTTTGTGGCAGAATCCTACCAGTGCCCGACCCTGACGACATTCGTATCCCAGCAGAGGTGCGTGACCTTAATATTATGCCACCTAAAGCAAAACGTCCATCAGGAAGGCCTACGACGAAGAGAAAACTTTCAGCAGGAGAGTATCCTCAGGTTAGTGAACACTAAACAATTTTTTTTTTCCCAGTCATACTGATTACTGATTACTGATTAGTGATATACGCTGTTGCAGGTTGCGAAAAAAAAGAAGCCTAACAAATGCTCGAGATGTGGAAATGCCGACCATAACCGGGCAAAATGCAAGGAACCATTGGGTTGACCGGGTGTGGCTTTTGTGTGTCTTTTGTTGTGTGTAGGAAAGAGCGAGCCACAATTTTTTGTGTCTGTCTCTTGTTGTTTTTTTTGTGGGGATCTCGCTTTGTTTTTCAGGGTTTGTTTCTAGCGTACACTATGTTTCCCTAGATTTAAACTTGGAAAGGGAAACGTATATTTGTTATGAATTTGATTATCAAATTTAAGTGGAAACGACAAAGACCTATTAAGTACCTTTTTTGAAACCCGTTGCACCGTTTGACCGACTCGTTTCCCTTGTTTACTTTTTAATGTTTTTCCTGTCGTCCTCTATAAAAACTGTCCCCTGCCTTCTTCAGTGAAACAAGTTTCCGGAGACACAAAAAGTTAATTACAGAAAAAGTTAATTACTCAGAAAATTAATAGTTTCAAAAAATGTACTCTGCCAAAGTGATCTCATTGCAATTGAAGGAAGTGGAGAGGAAAAACAGTCCATGTTTCAGTACAGGTATTTGATGGTTCATTTGAAAATAGGGGTTTAGTTTAGTTTTAGGGTTGAAGGATCGGTCTTTTACATCGTCTACCTAAATAATGTTTTGCCGATTTTATTAGGACCTGTGGGTGAGGACTTGTATCACTGGGAAGCTATCATAACGGGCCCTAAAGGTTCACCCTATGAGAATGGTGTTTTCAAACTAGACATTTACTTTCCTCTTGACTACCTTTTCGCGCCACCTAGGGTAAGGAATGAAGCATATCATTGGTCTCTCAAATTGCTGTATTTATAGGGTTTTGGATTTAGTCAATAAAGATTTCAATTACTAATAACACTGATTTTTTCAGGTGATGTTCAAAACAAAAGTGTATCACCCAAACGTTACTACTTATGGGAACATTTTACTGAAGATGTTGAACCCAACTCACTTCAGGACCAACAACAGCATCAATGATGTATTTTTACTCATGAAAGAAATAAATCGTGATTGTGTTCTGGTTAATAATCTTAATTCCGTATAAATTAGGGGTTAACTGTGTTTACATGTATATGTAAACAGGTACTGACAGAAATACACCAAATGTTAACTGGCCCCCAAATAGGCGAATGACACTTTTATGTTGAAGAAATTGCTAGGATTTACGTGGAAAACAGGGCTGCTATTGAAACCACTGCAATTGCGTGGACGGTGGAGCACGCCGGAGGAGAATAAACTCCTGAATTGTAATATTAATTTTGTTTGTTGAATTGTGTATTTTCTTTTGCAAAAAAATAAACTTTATAATAACTTTTTGTTAGCGTGTTTTTCTTGGGAAGTTTATGACTTTATAATAACTTATTAATATCAATTTATGCTTTTGTTAGGATTTCATGAAACAGAAGGCATCGAATACTAATTCAAAGATTGTTCATTACATACTAAAAATGAAATATATGTGTACACTTCATATAGTCTACACATACTCGTGTACACTTCAGAAGGTGTACACCACAAACTTATTTTTAAAGCATTTCGCAGATACGCCTAGCACACCAATATATGAAGCAACCATTGCAAAGTACTCGGATCTCAGGTTCGAAATGATCAAATGCACAATCAGGCAGCTTGATGACGTCGTTGTTTGGATATGAAAATGAGTTTGAGTACGTATCCATGTATGCAGTTCCGTAATATGAAATCTCAAGAATTAACTCCTCACCTAATTGTCGCATGCGCTCTGACTGTAGACTTCCGTGATGCATTGCCAACAGTTGCAATGTTTGGCTTGCGGAACAAGGGTCACCCAAGCAAACGCTGAGCATGGCCGACGCCAGGGTCGAGAGAGCGTTGGTGGGAACATTTGGTTCCAGCATGGTCCTACTTGCAATGAGATATGCGCCTCTGGTTGCAAGTCTCAGGGCTTCCCAGTATCTTGCCTCAGGGTTTCCACTCGCCAAACATTTCAGAAAGAATGGGCGTCTTTCATTTCCAGGGCATATGTCGCTGGGGACACAGCAAAGGGCATAAATGTTGGAAGATTTGAGGACATCGTCGGTGAAAACAAGCCGGAGGGTGCGCTTTCTAGCGCGCACAAATGGTCCTAGTCGCCAAAATGCTTCACTGCCGAGCCTCTTGAGGATTTCGATAAGAATTTCATCAGGCAAGTCTGGGAGCGACATGTTGGGTTTAGGGTTTCTTATGTTTGGTTTAGGGTTTGTTTTCGCTAGAAAGGAGGCAAGTTTTGTTAAGACAAAGCAAAATCATCATATATGGACTTCACTGGTGTGTGGTTGGGGGGTGGAAAATTTATTATACGGTTGAAAATAATATAATAGTGTACTCCTTTTTAGTAAATATTTCGCCTAACCGTTTTTTACCCCCAAATTTTTTAGAATAATGGTCAGTTCGCTTTTATTAAAGTGCCCGAAACTAGTTACATTTATAATGTAGTGCGACGTGTTGGGGTCAGTTTAGCAGTTATTGAAGTGGCTCTTATCTTTCTACCAACCACGAATTATGACATTTATATATCTATCCACCTTGTCTACAAATAAAGCGAATCAAATGTATTTTTCACCAAAGTTAAACAACAATGCACTACTTAGACGATGATGTTTTAGGGTTAATAGTAAAGAAACTAGCTGAGGATGATTCCTATAATCTTGGCCCCTTTATTCATGCAGGAAAACGTGGAAGAGCCATCGCGTTCACCGACGACGTGTTACGGTCTGCAGACATCTCTCGATTGGTTGACTCACCGCTCGACGTATCCCCTAAGAGCCCTTACCGCCCATTCTTTGAGCGTTGTCTTGGCGCCTGTAATCCACGAGCTATTTATTTCGAAGCCATTAGAGTTGCCGTGAGTGAGCAAAGATTGTATTCAGCGATTACAATGCTTAACCGACTTGTCCCATGTGATAAACATGCTACTTTCGCATGTGCCATGTTTGAAATTTGCGTCGGTCGTCCACGAAGGGCTAAAAAACTCCTCACCTATGTATTCACTCTACACGTCCCTTATGTGGTTTATGAAATGAAGCTGTTAGCGCACTACGTTATACGTCACGTATGGGAGTTCGCACTGGGCCGTTTCAAGATCTGTGGGGTAGCCTTTGGTCCTTCCCGATCACCCTACAAGAAGAACCTATATCGGAGTGTGTAGATGACCATTACGATGGCACAAATACACCAGACTGCGAGTATTGCCTTCTACAATGCACGGCTCTGCGCATAAGATATTTACTTTAGTTTAGTTATTTTAATTGCAAGTACTTGTTTAATTTTTGTAATAAATTTAAGGTAGAAAGTAAGTGAACATCACTTGACAAACGGGAATGTAACAAGTACCTACTAAGAACTTAACTAGTTGTAACAATGTAACTACTACTTTAATTTTTGTAGTTGGTAAACATCACTTCACAAACTTATTGTAATATTACTTCTGTTCAACTACACACTAATTGTCTTACCATTAACTATTTCTCAACAACAACTAACCATCGAATTCAATATATAGTTTCATAAAATTGCGAAGAAAGTTCACCCTACACAAACCCTATAACCTTCCCAAAAAATGGCAGATTTACCAGATTTACCAGATCATATTATCGAAATCATTGTCAAGAAAGTTGCTGAGTCTGACTGCATCGACCTTGGACCGATTATTCTGGCAGGGATCCGTGGTAGGGACATTGCGTTTAGCGCGGAAGTACTCAGATCAGCATACCTATGGACCTTGCATGACACACCATCTCGGATATACCCTGGTGGAGTATATCGGCCTTTATTCCTGAGCTGCTTAGCGTCGAGAAATCCACGGGCCATATTGGTCGAAGCTATAAGGTTCGTGTCAACAGAGGAGAAGATCTATACCGCCATGAGGATGCTAAATAAGCTCGTTCCATCAGACGTCTATGCCACTTACAGCTGTGCCATTTTGCAAATGTGTGTGGGTCGCCCTAACAGAGGGAAAAAACTTCTAAAGATGGTTTTCAGGTACCACTATCGTCATGATTCTCGTGAAATTCTTGAAGTCGCCGAGGAAATAGTATCCTTATTCTGGTCATTTTGCCCACGTAATAAACATACATACAAGAAAAAGTTCAGGTACCCTAGTCTCATTCATGAAGACAACTCTGCGTCGTGCGAAGTGTATCACGAGAATTTGCATTATATTGTTACATGTGAAAATTGTTATCTTAGATGTTCGGCAGAACGCATAACAAAAATGCTTTAGTATCGATGTGCTATGGTCGCTTGTCGCTTGTTATTTAAATTCTACTACTACAATATATTTTCCCATTGTTGTTGTTATTTAAATTCTAATACTACAATATATGAAGTTTAAATACCGCCTTATGTCTAACAGCCTTATGTCCAAAAAGGGTTTACAATCCCGTATACCAATGTTGGTGTACGTTTCCGAACCCGTATACCAATGTTAGTGTACGTTTACGAGCCCGTATTCATCCTTCTTTAAAAATGTGTAATATTATTTTATTTTCAACCTTTTTTATGTTTCCAATCTATATATCATCGCGTTTACGTAAGTAGGTGTACGTCTTTAGGTATACGGTATTAGGTATACGTAAGTAGGTGTACGTCTATAGGTATACGGTAATAGGTGTACATAAATAATTACAGTGAATAGGTGTACATAAATAATTACAGTGAATAGGTGTACATAATTAATTACTCCCCTAGACGAAATGATATCCTGGCACTTTCATTTTGATATTGGGAAAGGCTAGATTCTCCATATATAAAAATAATTTTAAGAGCTTTATGATTAATTAATACATTTACGAACATAAGTACCATAAATAACATAAAATCAACTACTAATTCTCCGTAGATTATGTTTATACAAAAGTAAGAGTGGCAACAAAAATACGAAAGCAGACAAACATTTTCTAAAACATCAGTTGTAGTTCGGAACACTAGGACAACATAAATAATTAAAGAGACACGAATGCAACAACATACTAAGATTACGGCTTTCACCAATCGAGCATGAACGGCCAGCTTGGAACGACGTTCCTAATGAAGCGGAAGAACCTTTGGGTCTCTTGGGCCCAGAAACAGGTTATGCACTTTGGCTGCTTAAAATCTTCTGCAAACCACTGGAGCCAATAATTGATAACCCCGCACTGACAGGTGTACAGCGCAAGGAATCTGGGATGAAAGGCAGCCGCTTTCTCAGTGAAATCCGCTGGCAAATCGAAATTCCATCCGTGTGGAACGTCGGCCAGCAACAACCGGCTCATCCTCCTCCGGTTTTGCACCGTGAGCCTGCCCAAATACTCCTCTGCAAGGACAAAGTCTTCCGGCACAGCTCTGAGCCACATCCCGTACACGAAAAGGGCTCGGTCGTAGCCTCCCTCCGCAGCAGCCCTTATCAATTCCACGCCTTCACCATCGTGGAAGAAAAAGTAGGCTTGCATCCCCCTCTCGAAAATAACACCTGGATTACCCGCGTCATAGAATCTCCTCATCATCGCTGGGTGATGTGGAACCGCCGCTTGTTCATGCACGATTTCGGCGGGATCAATGGCTTGATAGAAACACCTGCTTGTGCCGATACGGTTGAAACGAGAACAAACAGCACGGAGGTGGGCTATTTCCCTTATAGTTGGGTTTGTAGCGGCCATAATTTGTTCCAGCAATTCATCAGGGAGTGAGAGAAGATAGGAAAAATCACAATCACCACCACTGTTTCTCCTTGGAACCATCGTTTATTTCGATGAAAAGAGAAAAGATAAGAAAATGGATTGAGGAGGAGGAGAAAGGATTGAAAATGGTATGAAAGAGGAAGTTATGATGGTTTTAAGTAGGCAGTTACGGTGAAGGGATTGAATTTAAAGAGGTAGTGCGGTTTTAATAGAGCCGAATAGCTGTTTTTGAAGAGAGACGTTGAAAAGAGACGAAAATGTGTCTTTTCGTTTACCGGCAAAATTGAATTACCACAATAAATACAGAGAATTACCAAATAAAAGCAAATTTCACCATTAAAATTTTTTGATGAATGCTTTAATTTAAATTTTGGTATACCACAATACATTTATGATTTCTGAGACAATACTATTAGTGTGGATGATATTATCGAAATTTCATTAACAATCCAGCCCTTTTTTTAATTGTTGGAAACTATATTTCTTGTCATCATTACAGACGTTTTCTCAATATCACGTTAACCGAGATATAGAGTACAGATTGAGTCCACATAGACGAAATCATGAATTTTTAAAAAATATGCGTACAGAAATAGGTAAAGCTAGACTTTTAATAAATGATGTCGTTTGTATATCCATCTTCTCCGAAAATTCCCACAAAAGAGATAATGTCGTTTGTATACTCAAATATATAATATGTGATAAATGTAACATTCAGGTGTACTAATGTAGGTGTACATATTGAGTCCAGATTGAGGTGTTCTTTATTTTTTGTAGTTATTAGGCGTACACAGAGAGGTAAACTGAGACTTTAAAGATATAAGAGAATGGTTCTCGAAGAACTGGCACTACCACCAACCGAAATTAAATAAAGTCAACACAATTAAAGTATACATACATACATACATAGAGTACAGATTGAGTCCACATAGACGAAATCATGAATTTTTAAAAAATATGCGTACAGAAATAGGTAAGGCTAGACTTTTAATAAATGATGTCGTTTGTATATCCATCTTCTCCGAAAATTCCCACAAAAGAGATAATGTCGTTTGTATACTCAAATATATAATATGTGATAAATGTAACATTCAGGTGTACTAATTTAGGTGTACCTATTGAGTCCAGATTGAAGTGTTCTTTTTTTTTTGTAGTTATTAGGCGTACACAGAGAGGTAAACTGAGACTTTAAAGATATAAGAGAATAGTTCTCGAAAAACTGGCACTACCACCAACCGAAATTAAATAAAGTCAACACAATTAAAGTATACATACATACATACATAGTAGGCCTAAATCAAAGATTAAATCATAAAGTATGAAATATGGAATCATAATCGATTACATAACATAAAAACACATATTCGCGGATGCTAAACAATTCGAATAATTCAGAAATAACAGCAACGCCGAGGTGTACACAACGCAGGTGTACACACCAAGGTGTACACAACACAGGTGTACACACCAAAAGTGGTTGACTTTCACCAATCAGTCACCATTCTTCCATTGACGGCCCAGAACGCGCTGCATACCAAACAAATACGAAGAACTTTTGCGTTTCCTGTGCCCAGAAACACGACGTGCACATGCTTGGCCCCTTTAAAAATTCGTCATGCCAATCAAGTTGAGCATTGGCAACACCACAGCGACAAGACCAAAGTGTGGCAAACTGAGCATTAGTCTCAAATCTCCTCTTCGAGAACTCTTCAGGAAAATTATTGACATAACCACGCTCACCTCCATCAATAATTTTCCGAATTATTCTCCTCATTGCCCTGCTGCCTAGTTTTGAAAGATACTCTAAACCGACGGGGTCTTCGACCACTGCTTTCATGTACATGCCATACATGTAAATACCTGTTTCGTATCCCATATCTGCAGATTCCTTGATGAGTTTTATGCCACATTTGTCTCCACGACAGAAGTAGTCTTGCATCCCCTTCATGAACAGCAAACCCGGATTGCGTGCGTCATACATCCTCCTCAACAAGTTGGGAAATTCCCAATACGCGATAAAAGGCATATCGAAATCTTCGGGAATAGGCATCTCCAAATCCACGGGATCAACCGATGCTAGAAAATTTTTGGTTAAAGTGCAGGCCTGGAACCGTTTGCAAACTTGCTTCAGTGTGAAAATTTGTCGGACGGAGTTGCTACTGTATGCGAGAACCTTCTCCAATAGTTCGTCGGGAAGCGCCATCAGAGGGGATTGACAATCACGGATATCCGCATCACATCGCCCTCTCTTTGGTGCCATAGTTAATTTGTGAGGTTCAATTGTGATGAAAACGGTTGTTTATGGAGATGGAATAACTGCGGTTTAGGATTTGTGAGGATAACGGTTGTTTATCTTGCATATATATAATAATTAGAAAATCCCACTAAATGAGCGTATACATTAAATGCAGTTACCGTTTCGATTGTAAATGAGTTTGTAAAATTAGTGGATAAACCATAAATTTCCTTGTCGTACACCCAGTTGATGTACACCTAAATGGATATTGGTGTACAGATACATATTAAGCCGGGAACAAAGTATTCACACACACCAATTAATAAATACTAAAATAAAGTAAAGTATAAAGAAATGTTGTTTATGTTGCATATATATAATAATTAGAAAATCCCACTAAATGAGCATATACATTAAATGCGGTTACCGTTAAGATTGTAAATGAGTTTGTAAAAGTAGTGGATAAACCATAAATTTCCTTGTTGTACACCCAGTTCATGTACACCTAAACGGATATTGGTGTACAGATACATATTAAGCCGGGAACAAAGTATTCACAGACCAACTAATAAAAACTAAAATAAAGTATAAACAAATGTTTCTTGATGTACTCCCATTTGATGCATATTGGTGTACAACTAAACGCAAATTACGGATACGCAATTATTGAAGTAAACTAAATTATAAGCAAACTAAATAATTGACACACCAATTAATAGGTAGTAAAGTAAACTAATTTATAAGCATAGAAATTATCAAATAAACCCACATCCTAAACATTATCAAAGACATAATAACCCTTTCATAAATTGTCAAGTTCAACATTAAACTTCAGCATTCGTCCTAAGCGTTGACAACAGCCGGATTCCCGACAAACTCTTCGTATGAGTCCATGGCGTATTTCTCCCTTAACCTGTCAACGTCATCGTCCGTTATCAAACCCATATCCTCCACTCCAAGCCCTGCAGCATGCATCTCTAAGAATTTGCCAGCACAAGGCCCACAGTCACCGGATCTTTTGTTCTGATATATGCCCTCCAAACGACTCCATGTGTAAGGGGTGGTGCGTAGGCCTTCCGTTAATTTGCTATCCAAATAACGCTTCAATATAAATGGCATACTTTGACACACGGGCGCCATATACTGCTCCACAGCCGCTTCATCATTATGACTGATGAATGAGTCCAAAATATTTATGTTACCCGTTTTAAAGTCAATTACAAGGCCCACCCAATGCTCAGACCCCCAGTTCATCGGGACGTATACAAAGTCCACAAACCGTAGAAACATTTGCCTCTGCCGCTGATTAGCCCACTTTGCTGGTTTTCCCAAGACAATGCCCTGAATGGTTTTCCCCCAGTCATACTGATTTTTGTCTCGCGATATGAAATCGTTGTAGTAGTTGCCGATGATGGATATGAACAAGGTGTCTACAAATGCTACCCTGTCTTTCAAGTATATTTCACCTCTACGTCTCCAAAACATGGCCATTATGACTTGCATGTGCTGACGAATAACAAAATATAAATAACATATATTATAGCTAATTAAAGATTGAGTAAGTACTAACTATATACTTACCATCGTGTTAACCCACTCAGTAGGCTTCGCAATTTGTAGGAAGAATTGATTGTTGACAGTATGACCAGTGACAATGAAAAAGTCGCTGTAATAAGAGCAATTGGTAATTGATAACAATGAAATTTAAGGATAAATTGCTTCGATACGATATAACTTACATGTTTCTTTCACGCGATAATAACTCCTGGAATGCCTTGAAGTGGTCTTGTTCCACTGTTTCGAGTGGTTTGTACGCAGCTTTCGATCTCGATACAAATAGAGCTTTGACCTTTGAATCTGCGGTGTAAATATCTCGAATCTTTTCCGACCGTACGCGTGCGCGTTTTCCTCTAGGTCTTACGCCTCTTCCTGTTCCTCAACCTCTTCCTCCTCTTCCTGTTCCTCTACTTTTTCTCTTTACACCAGACGATCCCTTAACTTCTTGTGGGGGTTTTGGAGTACAAGGGGTCTTCTGCGAAGCATCACTTGCATCCTCAGGTGCAGTATGGTATTCTTTCCCCGCATTTGAGTCGTCCTCATTAGCCACAGCCTACACACCACCGTAACAATAGAGCGTATAACATATCAATCGTATACCTATCGTACACCTAAACACTACTGTATACACATGCATATCATATGAATAACTTTATTGTCTGACCTGTGCATCCTGTGCATGAAGCGCATCTGTCTGCGCTTCATTTTTCTTATATGCGTAGCTCAATGGGTGAGGAGTCTGAGGTTTGTAGACTACTAAGGTGCCTGACACCAAATTTTTTCTACCACCATCCACCTGAATAATTCATAAAAAACATACCACAATACACACACATTATGAAACTTAATAGAGTCAGCTGGTGACTAAACAATTAGCTCACCTCGTTGAGGCCAGAAGGTGGATCTTCATCCGGATTGACGAAGTAAGGAGGTGGACGAGTTGTTCCTGAATTGGCTTGTTCAGGTTCAGGGTTCTTCGTCGGAGCTTCTGGAGTCTTCAAGTACGCATGGTCCCTGGGAGAATAATGGTCGCCGCCGTAGTAAGTAGAGGTCCCTTCTTCATCATCTCTTTCTTTCTCGTGTACACCATCTTCGGGGTGTACACCATCATCATGGCGTACGCTTGACTGTGCACCATCATAACCTCCTTCTCCATCTTCGGCTTCGTCTTCATCCGATTTTTTACCATCTTTTTTTGGATTCTGTCCTTCGTCATCATGTTCCCCATCTTCTTTTGACTGGTGTACATCGTCATCTTCTTCGTCCTGTTGGTATACGCCCAATCTCTTGTCCAACTCTGTCTTAATCTTACGAAGGAGAAAATTATTCTGACTTACTATCCATCTTTTAAGATCTTTAAACTGTCCACTTTCAGGGGTTTCATCTTCCGATAGATTAGAAGAGTTCTTGCCCCTGCTTCTCTTCCTCTGCATCTTACGTTTTTCAATTTGATGAGTTTTCAGTTTCTTCTTCGGTCGAGTGGATGGCTCAGGTTCCTGTTCATTGGTAACCTCGTCCTCTGCATCACTAATATCCACGATAGGTGTCGGTGCCACTGCAAAATCCGAAGGTGAGAATTTGTACCCCTCGGCCATGAGTTCCTGCATGAATGCAACTTTGGCATCCTCTACCTCATCTCCCCAACGCAATTCATTCTGTTGCTCATTGTCACCATCATCCACTACCATCTGTTTGACAGACAACTAAGACAAAAAAAACAATTGCAAAATTACCAACCAAAATGACAGAGCACTGATCTTTTAAGACAAGTACTACAAAATAAGACTACAAATAGGACTAAATATAATACTACAAATAATTTACCAGAGGGTCGGATTCCACGGCAAGTATGTCCCCAAGATGCAATAGTGTGATAACGTTTTGACAGCCTTTGGGATCTTCAACGAATGTCTTCAAGTTATCAGGTTGAGGAATTTTGGAAACCAACATTGGTATACATTGGAGGGCCATGAGTTGTAGTGATAGAGGGAATCCATAGCATGCACTGGTTTTCTGTTTAAGTTGACGGCGCAATCGTGTTACAGGGTTCTCTTTTTTCTCGGCATCCGTGATTGCCTTTGGAGCTTGAAATCGAGATACTGTTTTGTTAAAGGATACCCTCCCCCATGGATACAGCATGAACCTTTCCAAGTCAGTCAACATCGCAACGTATTTCTCGGTGAGGGCCAGATTTTTGCTATTGCAAAACAGAACACCGTCGACAAGAACGATTAGGGCCAATGGAAGGTGTTTCCATCGGGGTAGATCCGGGTCCTTTAGCATTTCAAGCACATCAAACACGTTCATAGCCTTCGCTCTTCCAAACAGGTCTTTCCAGATTCCTGTCTTTCCGACATCTTCTTCTTCTTCTGTGCTATCAGGTTCGAATTGCAATTCAATCCAGTGATTTCCTTAAACTCCTGTATCAAATATCTCAGAGGCTGTCCACCAAAGAGGAACCAAATCTCGTGTTTCTTCGTGGTCACAAGTTGTCGTGATAGAAGGGCATGGACTTGTTTGGCACTGTTGCAACATCTTGCAACAGGTAGATGGAATAACTTCCCAAACTGGGAATGAAGTAGCTTCTCAAGATCTTCAGTACCCTTTAACGCCTCCACAAGGAGGCCAATGACACTGGCCTTTGAATATATGTTCAACCGAGCACCAACGGGGTAGCAACCATCGCCGAGGACCCTTTTTGGTAGTTTTTCCGAAATATTGTTTGACGATTCCCCATCTTCCATGCCTGTATTCAAAGGTTCTCCGTCTTCCATTCCTGTATTTGAACCAAAAAACAATTCCGAAATGCAGGAAAGATATAATATTCTGGATAAACAGTTAAATGCAAACCCAGGGGAAAAGTTTGAGGGAAAGGAGTTCGAAGGAGTTAACAAAGATCTGGAAAAACTACCCTATTCGAATGGATTCCTATATAAACTTCTGTAACTGTTTCTAGATGATATAAGAGTAATCCAACCGTTTGAATTCAATATATAGACATAAGTACTAGAGTTCATAACCGCTAATACATAAATCAGGCCAATCATGCGCCCCGTTTCAATCTTAATTTCAGTTACAACCCGCCAGTACAGTTCAGACAAGGTCGAAGTTCATAAATGTAACTTACTTTTAGAATTCTGTGCAGGCCATTCTAGAAGAAGAGGAGCGAATTATACTTTGGATCTACACCGCCGGCGTGGATTTTGACGACTCGCGTGAATGGGATGTTCAACCCGGTGGTCACTCCATCGCGGTGATATGGGCGGTATGGGCGAGTGGTCCGTCGGAGCTGACTTCGAGTTACTCCGGAACACTCGCTTCGACACCGGAGGCACGGTGTTGTTGCGCCTTAACGATTTTTTTTACTTTCCGCACCATTACAACGGTCAAGATGTGGATCCCAAATTGCCGGAGATGCTAGATGGACTACGTCGAGATGTGGATCCCAAATTTAATTTTTAATTTAAATGTTGGATGTCGATAAATTATACATTTGGTTATACTTCGGTTTATGATATTGGACTTCGGTTTATAATTTTGTGTAATCGGTTTACTAAATCGGATTTAATCTGAAATTTTTAGTTTTTTTACTTCGATAATGGCAATTTTGAAAATAAAAATTGCCTTAGGACCTTTGTGGGAAGACAAACAGTAAAAACACCCCTATCCTTCCAAGATTTTCAAAACATCATATTCTTCTAATTTAAAACTTAAAAACTATCCATTCAACAATTTTCTTGGAAGAAACATCATATAACATGAATAGAAAGTACATGCTTATATATTAAGAGTACTGTAAATTAATATGTAATCCATCCTTGAAAAACACTTTTCTTTATTCTTGAAAGTTTAAAGAGAAAATTACCTAAAATAAATTATTTTGTTCTTCAAATAGCTAGAATAACCCATGATATATTTTATTATCCACATAATCCTCATAATCTACTACTCAGTTTAAAATGATTGTAACTCATAAATTACCCTTATCATTATCATTAATTATTATTTAATTTCAACTAATTGTTCTTTAATTTACATTTGTTTAAAAACTATTAACAGAAATCGAATAATATTTTTTCGAAAAAGAAAATATCTATAATTTAAACCCTAAATTAAATATAATGTTTGACACAGTTTTGTCGCTGACGTCTTTTTGTTTTGTTTCATTCATGGTATTATCCAATTCCCCTATCACGTCTTTGTGTTGCCGAAATCCTTTACAACAGATTCGTCTGGCTTGTCCTCAAATTCGCCTGGCTTTTCTTTGAAATCGAATCTCGGTTCCGTCTCAGCTGTTCTTTAGAGGAAACTCACGGACCTTCTCAACATTGCTAATTCAGGCAAATCGTTGGCAAATCTGTATTAACTCTATCTGGGCTGAAAGAAACAGAAAGTTTTACCAAGGTTCCCTCTGTTTCTTCTTTTGTCTAAATTTGGCATTCACCAACCAGCTGTATGAATGTGAAATTCGATTGAAATAACGAATAGAAAATAGCAATATTATAAACGATATGTTAAGGTAAGATATTAAAACGAGAGTTTGAAAACCAATTGAAAACAGACGAAAAACACGGAGTCGAGATATGATCTCTTTCCTTAACTCAATAAATCGCCCGTAATGTGTGACGGTTTGTTGCGATTTTTGAATCCCAGGATACAACCGTGATGAGACTATTATGCAACACCCATAATAGAATCTGCGAACTGAAATAATACTACGCTATAACTCTCGAGACACTTAAGATATTAAGACGAGAGGGATTTGCTGGAAAGAATTATTTGCTGTATGTTTGGTGTATTCGAGAATTTGATTATTCGATGATTTAGAATGAGAGAAGAGGGCGCCTATTTATACTGGAAGGTTCAACTTGATCCGCAAGGAAAAAGCTTTGGCGAAAAAGAATATTCGCGAGATATTCTCCTTTTCTCGCAAGTAAAAGGATTCGGAAATATTCCGTTATTATCTGGACGCAATCTTTTATTTCCTAAGATTTATCCTTTCAATATGCAAAAAAAAATATTTCGCAGGAACTAAGAAGCCCACGACCCCCGCCCAGCTATATAGAGCCCAAGAGCCCAAGAGCCCTAAGAGCCAACTAAAAAATGCAACGAGCCCGAGCCCAGCACCGGCGACGGCGACGGTGATAACACCGGATTTTGACCATTTTTATGGATCACTTTAATATCTTTTACAGGTGTTTTTACTCCATTTTCAAAGGTTTTCAAAGGATTTCTATGTTTCCGGATTTTAAAAGACTTTTCAGGTAATTTTGGGATAAATATGCACAAATTGGAACAAAAAGATTCTTTTAGATAAATGGAGACCGTCAGAACTCTCATGGAGAGACGAATACTTTCTCACCATCTGATCACCCTCAAAATTGGAAAACTTATAGAAGAATCAACCAGCTTTGAAATCCACTTGGTTTGGAGACATTCCAACGGTTGGATCTCAAGATATTTCATTTGCCCCAGAGCCACTCGAAGACAGCCATCAAGTCACGCGACCGCGGCCAACAGCCTGTTTCCCGCGGTCAGAAGCCTCCCGACCGCGGCCAACCACCAAATCCCCGCGGTCACATCACTCCCGACCACGGCCATCAAGCTCCGAATTAAAGCTCATATTTCTGAAGCCCAAAGTCATTCTCAGCCTCAATTCCGGAACCCTAGAGACCATGGAGTATTGAAGACTATAAATACTTGTCATTTAGGTCATTTTTAGGGAGAACCCTGGATACTTTACAAAAACCCTTTTCCTTCAGCCGTTTTTATGCAATTTTTGTAGAAGATTATTCAAGTCCGAGTTCTTCAATAGAGAAGCTTTCTTCATCTCTTTTCTTTACTGTTTTTCATTACTTTTAATAAAACCAATGATGATGTCGACCTCAGCCATGTCTGAGTTGATCCCGAGTTGGGTTTAGGGTTCCCGAAAGGGGCTCTCATAATCGATTAAGACATCTAGGTTTATAGATCTGGGATTTCGACCTGTTCTCTGTTTATTCTTGTTTGTATTGCATGTATGCTTGATTGATCACCTAGTATCTGATCTAGATAGTTAGTGTTGCGAAAGTTTTCATTAAGTATCAGCCCTAGAATGAAACAGGCGATTTTTCAGTAGGAGTGAAAACCTACCTGCGGCGAGATCGTGAGTATTGACGAGTCTTGTGCAGCTCTTGCGTTCTCTCCCTTCCAGGGCCAGAGTAGAAGCCTACTGGTCAGGATTGCGAGAAACAGTTGGTTATGATCACGACAGTGACGTAGTCATACCGCCGTACTCTAGCTCTAGAACCCTATATATCGATATCCATCAATCCCAATCTATTTACCCTAGTGTTAAAACCGATTATAATCCCTTAGAGTTCCCAAAAGCTCAGCGTTTTTAGCCATAGTTTACAAACCAATCGATTTTTATTTGCTTATTTAGATCTGCATTTCAATTGCCTTAGTTCGATATTTACTTGCTTTACTTGCTTTCCATTCGATTTTTCTACTTGCTTTCTAGGATAGATTTATTTGATTTCTTTAAGTTTTAGTTTAAATTCGTGACAAACAACCAACCTTTAAAACTAATCTAGTCTAGACATAAAGTTAAAAACCGTAGAAGAATACCAGGCACACAAATCTCTGTGGATTCGATCCCTAAATACTACAACTGATTAACTGTGCACTTGCGGCTTTCATTTGTTTTGTTAAGGGTAAAACTTGTTCTCTCACGCAGTTGACACGACATCAAGTTTTTGGCGTCATTGCTGGGGATTTGTTTCGCTGCCTTTTGTTATTTTTCTTGTTTTAACTTCTGTTCTAGACACCTGATCTCTAGTTCTTTCTTAAAGTTTTGCTGAATTATCTTTCCCTTCTTTTGTTTTTCCCTGAATTGCATGAATACCAGGCGCAGACCTGTAGAAAACATTCCAATTCTAGACGAGATAGACAGACACGAAAGAGAACTTCGAAGACTTATACGAACACAAGGAATGGCGAACGATGACCAGCCTGGAGATCCTATTAACCGAGCTTTAAATATGGACCAAGACGGGTCCGAACATGGAGAAAATGAAGAGAATGATCACAGAGGAGGTGATCATGCTCGACAAGATGGAGAGGAGGACGAGGTTCCTCCAAGAAACCACCAGACCCGCGAGAGAGAAGAAAGTGAAGACCTTGAAGCACCCATCAATGCAGACGATGGTGACCAACAAGGGATGCAGCCGAATGGGCGCGTTAACCGCCCTGTTCAGCAAGCAAATCAACACCGAAGACAAGCCCGGAACCGGAACCATCGCATAGCTGATTTTGATGCACCTACT